TAAAAAAACCATTCATATTTAAAATAGTTGTGTACAGTAATTTGATGTAATTTATCAGAAAAATAGTATAAGTTATATAAAAATTACTAGCCTAAACCAGTTTAAAATTATCCCACACCAGGATGTAATTCTGGTGCCTTTTATTTTCAACACCAGTGTGAGTGAGCAAATTTTTAAATTTAAAACTTATAGCAAAGATATTCAATTGACTAAAATTTGTTTTACGTTAAATTATTGTGAACAATAAAACAAGCACTATTTTACTGTAAATAAAAAAATATTGAATAGTAAAATTTAAGAAGATTTTGATATAATTTATATAACTTATTATTACTTTTTCATCATTGTTCTTTATTTCTATAATATTATTTATCCAACATAAGATTATCTTATAATCAGATCTGAACACATACCCATAAATATAATAATATGGAAAAACTGGATAAAAAGTGTCCTGTTTGATGTTTGTTGGGACAAGGTGACATATTTCTCAAACCGGGACAATCTCGTTTTAAACGGATATGGTTATCCTAGTTTAGTGCCACTGAGTGACTAAAAAAATATAAAATTATAAATTTCAATGATTTTCTGTATAATTATTTTATTTGTAGGCAAACGTTGTTGCACAAACTAAAATTAATTTCAATGAACAACAATTGCTTCTTTTAATGTATCAACATTTAATGGCAAAAGGTTTGTCCACAACTGCAGAATCATTAGTACAAGAGGCAAATCTTAATATAGCTGAGAAAAAGTCTACACCATTTACATATATTTCTCATTGCCGTGTAAGTATTATGTTAGAAGTTTTGATGCCCGCATGTGGTGTCTCCGTGTAAAATTTCCATTCAGCAGAAACTATTTTGTGTTGATAGTTTTTATAGGGGTTTTTATATTACAGTAAATAGACTTATTATATAATTATTGAAATGTAAGAATCTTATTGTGGTTTCATCAGTTTTTTTATATATTAATTTTAAAGTGAGTTATTAGTATGTAAAATATTAAAAAGCTCATAAATTGATTTAAAATTATAATAACAGGAAAACATTGATTTTCTTATCTTTAAGTATTATAATTTTTTTTAAATTTAGAATAATATTAAAACAAACAATTCAAAAGTGTCTGATGAATGCTAATTTTCTATGTTATACATTTGTAAGTTAGAGACAATACTTATGGCATCATAACAAATCATTTTAATTATGATACTTAGATTTGTTCTTTGATTATATAAATACTAATAAATATTTTTGTACTGAAGAATCGGTCAATTGGAGGAGGAATATCTCCAATAAGTTCTAGACACGCAATTCAAAACCAAAAATCTGAATTAGCCAATTCATCTAATGGCCCTTTAGGTACAGGATTTAGTGCCAGAGGAATAAATTCAACTCCAATACGTTTGAATGTCAATAGGTATTTTGTATTTATTTAATATTTGGTTTATTAATTGTGTTTAAATATTTTAAGTGGACGTCACACCCGCATATGTTGTCTTTGTCTCAAACACTCAAGAAACGCATTTACACAGTCTAAGTTGAACTCGCTCAATTTTGGTTTTTGAATAAAAATACCTATTATAAAATTAAAATAATTAAAATATGAGAATATTTTGGTGTTCCAAGATGGTCATTATTTCTAAACAATATATTTAGTGTTATATTCCAAATAATGAAAAAATGTTCTTCGAAATATTGTCATATTTTAAAATAGGTATTTTTACCTTAGAACCAAAATTAAGTGAGGTTTGCTCAGACTGCGTAAATGTGATTTGTCTGCCCTACGTGTGTAAGGTAGAGACGGGTCTGGGTCGAAATCTCGACATACCAAATCCCTACAAATCACAATACTGACTGTTTAAAATCCCGACCAAACATATTTACATAATATTTTCATGTTCATTATTCAAGAATTTCATTTAAAAACTCAAACAATACATTACACTACAATTACATTATATTTATACTATTATATTTTTTTTTTTTTTTTTTTTTTATTAAATAAAATATATACAATCTGTATTAACTATACAATAAGTAATAATGATAATTTATATACAAGACTGGACGGCTTGATAGAAGGGAGTGTCCAAACAACACTACTTCAATTTTAGACTTTTAATGATGTTTTTTTTTTTTTTTTTTTAATTATTGGTTGAGGAGGTCCCTGGGCCAATTTCGCTTTAGACGACGTGGAGGGTTATCGGGGAGAATGACGGATGAGAGATTGGAAATGAGTGGATTTGGGTGGTTGACTATGTTGTTGTGAAATAATTTATAGTAGAAGGAAGCTAGGGTGCTTATATATGGGATTTTAAGGTCAGAGTGGAGTGTGAGGTTGGTAACGTACCAGGGAGCGTTTGTGAGGAGACGAAGACAGATTGATTGGAAGGATTGGAATTTTTGAATGTTGGATTTTTTGGAGGTGCCCCATAACTGTATTCCGTAAGTCATTGAAGGGCGGAGAATTTGTTTATAGATTAGGAGTTTTGTGTTGAGAGGGAGATTTGATTTGAGAAGGTGTTTCATTTTGTGGAGTTTAAAGTTAAGTGATTTCCTTTTAGTTTTTATGTGAACTGCCCAAGTGAGTTTACTGTCGAGATGGACTCCGAGGTAACGGGTGGCTTGTGCTTTGGGAATAATGACGTTATTGAGGGTCATGGGGGGACTATGGTCTGGACGTAGAGTAAAGGTTATGTGGGTAGATTTATTTGGATTTATTTTGATTCTCCACAAGTTGAACCAGTTTTGTAGCTCATTGAGATGGGATTGTAGATTTTCGGATGCTATGGTTAGGTCAACATTAGTTGATATTATGCCTGTGTCATCTGCGAAGGTAGCAAGAGTGGTGTTCTCAAAGTGAGAAATGTCGGAGGTAAATATATTGTAAAGAGTAGGTGCTAGGATACTTCCCTGGGGGACGCCTGCTTTTATGTAGTGGATTTGTGAGAGTTCGTCCTCGCAGCGAACGACGAAGGATCGGTTATGAAGGAAAGATTTTATGGTTAAAAACAGGGGGGCTGGTAGAAATCGTATTTTATATAGTAGGCCTTCGTACCAAACGCGGTCGAACGCCTGAGCTACGTCGAGAAAGACTCCAGTGGAGTACTGTTTGTTTTCGAGAGTTTGTGCAATTATGTCGATTATTCTGTGGACTTGATGGAGTGACGAATGTTTATTTTTGAAACCGAATTGAGTGTGGGGGATTATATTATGGCTTGCTAATATAGGATTTAATCGCTTTAGTATAATCTTTTCTAGAATTTTTGAGAATGAAGGTAAGAGGCTGATAGGACGATATGAAGAAGGCAGGTCAGGAGGTTTATCTGGTTTTGGAATTAGAATAATTATGGAGTGTTTCCATGAATGGGGAATGTGGGAGAGACGAAGAATTGAGTTGAAGATAAAGGTTAAGAGAAGGATGGCTTTCTTGGGCAAATGTTTAATAATTCGATTTGTTATGAGGTCATGACCTGGAGATTTTTTGTTTGATAATTTACTGATAATAAATTGGATTTTGCTGGGGGAGGTATGTTTTGTGGGTAGCGACATAGGAAGGCAATTGGTTAGAGATTTTTCAATAAAGGATGTGTGATCGATGTTGTTTACGTCGGGGTGAGGAGAGAAATTATTTTCTAGAAGAGAGGCAAACAGGTTTGATTTTTCTAGGTTGGTCTTAGCGAAGGATCTGTCAGGATATCTAATTGGTGGTATTGCTTTATTCTTATTTAGGATTTTTTTAGTAGCTTTCCAAATAGAATTGTTTGAGTTGGATAGAGAGTGTAAATATCGTTGGTATGTTTCTGTGTTGTGAATACGTAGAAGGTTTTTAAGGGAGCACGCAATGTTGTTGTAGCGACTTTTGTCACTGGGGAGGTGGGTGTGGTGCCAACGGTTTCTGGCTCGGCGTTTTTCAGCAAGCAGTTTTGAGAGGTGTTCAGGGAGAAAATTTTTATTGCGATTGGTGGGTAAGAAAGTTGATGAGTCAAGGACGGCGTTTTTTATCAACGTGGTGAAGGTCGAGACAGCAGAGTCTATCTCTTCAGTAGATTTTAAAGAAATGTTTAGAGATATATTGTTTTCAACGATGAGGGAGAATTTTTTCCAATCAGTTATCCCTGGGGTGAGAGCAGGGAATTTTTTCAGTGAGACCAATTGATTATTTAAAGTTAATAGGATAGGGGTGTGATCAGACGAGAGGTCTGCGAGATTGGCAATATTATAGTTGATGTTATTAGGGAGAGTATGAATGAAAAAATCAAGAATGTCGGGAACTCTGTTGGAATGTGATGGCCAATACGTTGGGTCAGGGGGAGATAAGTATTTTAGGTTGTTAGAAAGTAGTGATCTGTGTAGTGAAAGGCCTCTAGTATTGGATACTCTAGATCCCCATAAATTATGTTTGGAATTGAAGTCACCTCCGGATAAAAATGTGTTACCGAGGGATTTGAAGTACTGGGTGAAATCGTTGTCGGTTATTTTGTTAGCGTGACCCGGTGGACAGTAAACAGACGAGATTGTAGTGGGTACATGGTTTATTGAAATTGCTATATTTGTAGCTTGAAAGAGTGTAGTTTGGAATTGTGGAAGTACTGAGTGCTACACCACTGCAGAGAGCACATTTTGCTGGAAGACTCTGGGATTTTTGGCATGTTGTGGACAGGTGGTTGGCTCCGCAACGGACGCATTTTGGGGGATGGTTGCAATAAGATTTGGTGTGTCCAAACGCTTGACAACGGAGACATTGTATTGTTAATTTGTTGGCACGAGGTTCTTCGATTTTTATTTTGGTGTGGTACAAAAACTGATCGAAAATATATCTTTATTGTTGATGGCTGGCTCCACTATTATATATTCATTAATCATTATTTAAAAATTTAATTTAAAAACACAAAAAAATTTATAGTATATTTAATATTTATATTATTATTTTCATTATTGAATTTAATATTCGACATGTGACTGCCGATTGTCATTGAACAAAAAAAATATATAAAACTACATCGATATAATATTATTATGAGCCAAACCCCGTAAAAATTCTAAGACACTATTTGATATATCTTTATATACCGTCATTATTCTTTTCTCTCTGTCAATTATTTGTTTTTTCTGTTTTGGTTTTGGTTCTTCACGTTTAATGCATTCAATTTCTAAGTCAACTCGTTGTTGTTCTTTCTGAAGCTCCTCTATCATTGTATAGACTCCAACATGAGGTTTACCAACCAAAGTTGACCAACGTCGATGCCAAGCTTCGACAATATTTTGTGTCCTAGGAATTCCGTGGTCCATTAATTCTGACACAGACCAAAGTTTGGGCGGAAAAATTGCACGTCCTATGAATGAAACGCAAAACATAAAAATAATTTTTAATTATTACTTCTATTGTTATTATTATTTATATTAAAATGTGAGTTAAAATATCGAGTCTACAGAAATTTGTTCATTTATCATTTAACATAATAGTATGTCCCAAATGAAACTTATTATATATATATTTCTTGGATAAAAGGTACCACACAATGACAATGTACACAAAATAATAACACACACGGTACACGTCAATCACCTTATTTCATATCGCAATTTATCGGTACGGTAATATCGATAAGGAATGTTGACACCCATAAAACGTCCATAACGTATATAATGTCAAATACTCACGAATAATATTTTTAAATTACAACAAATTAACTAAAATCATTCTAAATTCATAAATTTATAAAATCTATAAACAATTAATTTGTCTTTCCGGTTAATGAAATAATAACCTACCTGTGCAGGCCATTAATTTTCTTTTTTCGCAGCACCATTAATATATATCCTCTTGATTCTTGTCTTTGGTCATTAAATATCCCTTGACACATATTTTGGCATTTCCTTTTTGAGATGGGATAATTTGACATATCTCACTCATAATAAAAAACTCATAACTTATATTTAAAACAAAGGTACTATACAATTAACACGCAAAAATACGTTTGTTCATTTGAAATGTTCAATCGTTCACTGAGACTCGGGATAAATAATTGAGCGTTTTAGATAATATAGGTACTAAATTAAACTTTTAAAAGATAAGATAAAATTATTTTATTTTGTCGATATTTAAAATGGTCGGTATTTTGAACTGTCGGTATTTTAGACTTTCGGGTTTTTGACCATTCGGGATTTTAAACGCCTCCCGATAGAGACAACACATGAAGTAGCGACGTCCATTTAAGCAAATGTATTAATTGTATTTTATTTATCTAGACGATCAGAAAATCGTCTAAAACCAGAGCCAGAACTAGAACTTGAGTCACCTATGTCTAAATCAGTTCATAAAAAAATTGACCAAGATTTAACATTACTTACTGATAATAATACTAACTCAAAGGTTAGTTTAGAATCTATTATTACAGAATACTTAACCAATCAACATGCCTCATGTAAACATCCTATGGTTACATGTCCTCAATTCAACTTATTCGTGTAAGTATTTTATTTTCAAACAAATAATATTATCTAAATAATCATATTATCATATAGTCCACACAAATGTCCTGATCCTAAACCAAAGAGCTCAATGTGTACAAACTTTGCTATGCGATTTTCCAAAAACATACATTCTAGAAAACTAAACCAAAGACTCATACACAGTCGTTTTTGTCCAACCCGTAATTTCCACATGGATGACGAAGATGCATATTTCACGTGTTGCGAGTTTTTGGTAAGTCTATTAAAATATAATAAATATATATTTATTATTATAATTATAAAGTTATTAATTTTAGGGCCCAAATCGTGTTGCTATTGGGACATACAATGGTGAAATAAAAGTATTCAATTTATTTACTTCTCAAGATGAACTATCAGTGTCAGCCCATGATTCATATCTTATTGACTTACAATGCAGTAATGATGAAAGGTTGTTGATATCATCTGCTTCTTGGAGAACGCCTTTAACGTCTATTTGGTCTATAACTGAAGATGCAATCAATATTAAGTAAGTTGTCTTTAATTTGTTTTTTTTTTAATATCTTATAACATCTCTAATATTTTTGTTTAGATATTCTTTGGACCATGAAGAATACTGTACTTTTAGCAATTATGACCAAAATAAAATACTTGGAACTAAAGCTGAAATAGCAACAGTAATTATTGAATTTCAGTTACTCTTCATAATTATTTTAATAAACTTTTATTCTTAACATTTTTTTCTAGATATATGATTTAGAAACTAGTAAAAGAATATTAACATTAATTCCAAAACATTCAAATCAGTACAGTAGAAATCGAGCAGCATTTGATGCTACAAATGAATTAGTGTTATCAGATGGTGTATTATGGGATGCCATCGCTGGAAAAGAAATCCATAAGTTTGATAAATTAAATCAATGTGTGAGTGGAACTTTCCATCCAAATGGACTTGAGGTAAAAAATATTTTTTTATAAAACTAGTTAAATTGTAATCTGAAAATTATTTTTATACCTACAACTTTGTAGATTATATCAAATACAGAAGTCTGGGATATGCGCACATTCCAGTTGTTGCGTACAGTGTCAAGTCTTGATCAATGTAATGTGACATTCTCCAAATCAGGAGAAGGGATGTATTTGTATGCCATTGATCAAGAAATTGAAAATGATTCTTCTTACCAAACTTCATTTAAAACTTTAGATCCTAATGACTACTCAAATATAGGTAGATTAATGAACATAGTGTTAAATATTTTGCATTTATAAAATATAATAATTATTTGTTTTTACGAATTGTGTTATGTGCTTAGCCACTGTTGATGTTAAAAAATTCATATATCATATGGCTTGCAATAGTTCTGATACTCAAATAGCTATTGTTGAAAATCAAGGAATGTTTGAAAATATTGATGAGTCAATTGTACGAATATACGATGTTGGTAGATCTAGAAACGAAGATGAAGCTGTAAGTTTTTTTGTGATAATTTCGATAAACTAGAATTATTCATAATTCTAATTTTAGGTCGAAGAAGAAGAAGATGATGAAGAAGTTGATTCTGAAGGTTCAGGGTCAGAAGATGAAAACATGTCTAGTACGTATTACAATAATTTATTATTTTATCTTATATAATGCATAACTAGACAACTAGTGTTTAAGAGGGCGCTACACAGCCGTTTGTTGTCTTCGTCTGAGAAGTGTGTAACATAGCAAATTTACACTCAGGAGAACGCTTTAGCTCCGTTAGCTTAAAAATTAGAGTGAATCAACCTATTATGAAACTTGATGGTAAGTACATAATCTGTGTTTGTATGTGGGGTTTTTTTTTTTTTACAATACCTAGCTCTATTTTTTAGTAATTAATGCATAGACAATATAGCGTAAATTAAAAATGCTCATAACTCACTTAAAAACTGAATTATTGTAAAAAAAAACCACATACCAACATATAATGTTCTTATCATCAATCAAGTTTCATAATTTTTTTATTCACTGTAATTTTTAAACTAACCAAGTTAAACGTAATCTGATGAGACTAAATTTGCTATGTTATGCACTTATAAGACAGACACAACAAATATCTGTGCAGCGTTCTCTTAAGTGGACAGTAGTTTAAAATAAAAGTTGCATTCATATGTTGAATTAGTGTTTCCATCGTATTTGGAAGAAATGATAGCTGGTGGCATGGCAGCAGGTGGGATGGGTGATAATTTTTCAAGTGGTAGCAGTAGCAATGGCAGTTTTGATGAGAGTGTTGGTGATAGTTCTCGTTCATTTACTCCATTATCTGATTCAAGTAATGATGCAAGCTATGATGCTGGTGGAAATTCAGACCCAGAAAACTTAGGCGCTTGATTATTATTAAATCTAATATATTTTTATTTGTTTTAATTTAAAGATTGATATAATATGTAATAAGAAATAATAAGACATTACTTCTGAAATACATAAAATTTACAATTACCAAATTGTTATATCGCTGTTCAGTTATGTATTTCTGTGATTGAAAACAATGTTTTCTATTGTAATATTGTATGTTTTATTGTAACATGTTTGTATGTATGATAATATGATGAAATAGTTTTTGAAGAAATCTTTTTGATGATTTTCTGAAAGCTTATGGGGAGTTATATTCTATAGTTTGTTGTTGACAAAATAATTTGTGTACATAAATGTCAATTATACAGTAATATATCTAGTAATATATCTATCATATTGTCTAGTCTAAACAACAATTCCTTTTCATCAAATTTTGATGTTTTGAAATCTGGTTAAATATTTCAAACATTGCTTTATTTTTTGATTTTATAAACCACCTACCTATTATCTCAATATAAATGTATACCTAAATTATTAATTACATGTATTGTGTATTTGTGTATCTTAATTTATATTTTATTTTTAAACACAAAATATGGTATATGCTTAGTTAGTCTTAACTTTTTATGCCAACCACTGAGTGCTAAAATAGAGCTTGGTGGTAGTGGTGCCAAACTACTACAAAATCACTACTGTGACGAATATCAAATTTTAATGGTATTTTAATTTTTAATACATAATTATTAATTACGTAAACGCAGATAATTCACTATAGTCGCCATACTTGGTGTGTGGGTATCGGAGCTGGTGCCTACTAGGTCTAGCAAATAGCAATATTATGTTTGAATATCTAGAACAAACTGATTCATTTTATTGAAATATATGGCTTAGAAGGCCTAGCACAATTTGATTTTAGTTTATGTAAATTAAATATATTTATATGTTTCTACAGTTTTTCGTTTTTGAATTACAACAAAATAAAGAAATCGCTACATGAGAAATCGAGTGAATATCCTGTTGTAAAAATTTGAATTTCAAATCCTCATAAAAACTTAATTTGATTTCATATTGACATTTTTTTTTTGATAAAGGTATATAATCTTATAAGGAATCTTGTATTACATTTTAAAATCTTAGATTTAAAAAGATAAAGTTTTATGAATTCCTAACTCAAAATAATTTGCTAATTTTCGTGATTTTTTCATATTTTGTCAATTTTTGAACTTTAAATTCTTATAAAAAAAACTTTGACTAAGGATTTTTAATATTTTTCATCTGCCTTTGAAAAAATATACTAGGAGCTTTCTATTAAATTTTCAAGCTTTTTTAACCAACAAATAAAATTTTATTGATATTTTTAGAAAAAAAAATTTAAAAAAATGAAAATGTCCCTAAACAGTTCAAAATAAATCAAAATATTTTGAAAATGTTATCGTGTATATAAAATGCAAATATAAACAATGAGTGAAAATTTCATGTATCTACGGTCATTTGTTTTAAATTTACACCAAAAACCAAATTCAATTTTGTGAAATATCGGTTTTGCGTAAAAATTCCCGTTTTTCCTTAATTTTTCTTTTGT